CCCGCTTGCTTAGGCAGAGTTTCTCTCATCAAGAAGACCTCCCCCAGACCTGCCCAAATACAAAAACAAGAATAGGTAATGAGAGCGCAATTATCAACAACCTTTGTAAACCTGAAACTATAGCGGAAAATGAAGTCCCACTGTAATCCTTGGCTTCCCATCGAGCCTTGGATAAATCGTGCCACATGCGCTCGACGCATGGGCAAATTGAGTCGAGTTTAGCTACCCAGCTTGAAAGATTTCTTACCGCATCAATGTATGCCGCGGCAGCTATATCAGTGGAGGAAGTCATTCCATGAAGAAATATATCCAAAAGAAAGAGATGGCTAGTTAATTAAGTATGTCTACTTAGGCTTTATGTTCCATCTTTTGGGGAACGACATTCTCTCTGTGGGGATCAAGTTCGAAGTCCTTACTCGAATGAAACAGCTCATCCACGCCCCATTCCTAACCTCGTCGGTGCAAGCAAAGAGGGTCCTCAAGGCTCGATAACGGAGCTTAATTAGGCCCCAGCAAAAGTGTCGGGGACTGTACATTCATATCAAATGATCAAGGGTAAAGGGAATCCTCTCAATCATATTCACGTAATATCTGGTCATGTAAATAATACGCCAGAATGATAGATGAATTTGGCCGAGAGTCACTTGATATCTGTTTACCGTGAAAATGGTAATAACAATTAAATTTGTTTATGGGACTCTAAAAATACGTGATCTATTTTTATGCTAGTTGTTAAGCAGATGATGCTATGTATGTGAGACTTAGAAATGAAATAAGAGTTAAGGATAAGATGATAACCAAATTGATAGGTTAACAATCGGAGCCTCGAGCTTATCGATTCGGGGGCCTCGATGTCGATCCCGGAGCTCGGTTGTGAGCTATCGAAGGTGATCGAGGTAGGACTAATAGTTATAATAAAATTAATAAAGGCCCTTTATGGCCAATGATAAGTAATAAATGATGAACAATAATGAAGATAGCAAATGGAAGCAATAATCTCAAGAGAGTATGTTAGAAAGCAGAGAGAATGTTCTTGTTTATTTAGTATACAACAATCAATCCTTACAATATGGTAAGGACCCCCTTTATATAGAAAAATGTGGGATCCTATATAGTACAAACGCGTTTATTACAAAGATGTGGAGATGGGACAGCTAGTCGACGTCATGATGCGGGCTCAGGCTAGCCTGACAGACTTTGGGAACTCCCATCTTTTCCAATATAGCTATTGGTCTGCATTGCCCCGAGGTCGAGTATCGACAGCCCTCAAAGTTGAACCTCGACCCCAGTCTCGAGCCTTGGGAAAGTTTGTTGACAGGGAATCATAATGACAAGGAAATTGGACTCCCCGATTTTACCTTGCACATATAGTCTCCGCATTTCTTAGAGTGAAAGTGATAAGAAATGACCTTAAACCTTTGCCCCCTCTAATACTCTTGTAACGATGGCAGTCATAAGGTGCCAAAAGACGATGCACACGCAGCCCTTGAAGGCCTCCACATTGATTATGGCAGTTAACTGCCCCTTGGCCTCCTTTAACATGCACGCGGGGCTTCTATAAATACTCCCCTTCTCGTCCATTCCAACTCACAACATTTCCAAACCCCAAAAAGGGTTTCTTCTGCCTTTACTTTTGTTCTTTCCTAGGAACGCGACTTCCTTTTTCTTTCAGAATTTTCTAGTAATGGCGAAAATTTCTGCCTCTGTTTCTCAGGAGAATGTGGCCTCATCCTCTTCTGTTTTATCTCAAGTTGAAGTGGCGATGCCTCCTCGTACTGAGGAGTGCATTCCAGGATTTTTCACGATGGCTTCTAATTTCAAGGTCGAGAGGCCTTCTTCTATGTCGGGGCGCCGTGAGACCGTGACTTAGTATATTAGCTCGATAACAGACATCGAAAGAGTGAGAGTTGATTGTCGCTAGGGGGACGCGGTGCTTGTGGAGATCCCTAGTTGGTAGGAGGATATTATGACATACAAAGCCGATTTTCTCAGTGTGTATACTTACCCGTTTACCCTAAGGCCGGTGGAGCCATCTTCGCCCCCTATCGACCCCGTGATTCTCGACTTCTACCAACGGTATCAAGTGACCATTGGCAAAATTCATCCTTCATTCTGGCATGTTGTTTACATGATTAGGTACTACGTGAACATGATCGAGGAGATGCCCTTCACCCTCGATCATCTGATCAGGATGTACAGCCCCCGTCTCTTCCTCAGGGGTCTGATCAAACTCTGCTTCCGAGCTCCGAGGGCCCTCTTCGCCTGTACCGAGGAGCTCGGGAACGGGGTATGGATAAGCCACTTTGTTCGAGTAAGGATTTCTGACTTGATCCCGGCGGAATGGATGCCATTTCCCGAGAGGTGGAATGTGGAACGTAAGTAGACATGTTATCTAGCATTCCCTCGCTTCTCTATGAATACGTTCTTCCACACACTGAATTTTTCTTGCTAATGCAGCCGCATCAATTTATCCTGGCGCGGTTCCGGACCTCCCGAGTTGGGTCGGCCGTCTGGACTCATTTTTCCTGTATGCTGAGCGAGTGTGGAATGATTTATCCCAGGCTTGGTGGGAAGCTAAGGATCATGGCAAGCCTCTACCCCTGTTGTAGTCATCCTTTTCAACCTAAAATCGCTACTGGCAACGCACTCATTCCTTGCGCTTACCTTTTGCATTTGTGTAGGTTTGGGAGAAGTCCCCTTGATGAATGGAGCATTACCCGGCGGGGAGGGTGATTTGGCACCCGATGAAGGGAAGAAAGACAAAGGAATCCGTCGGACGGACCTTCGGAGTCCAAGAAGGTTAAGGTAGAGGAAACTAAGGCTGACCTGGTAGCCCTAACTCCTGAAACAGCAGAAAACCCTCGAGTTGAAGGTGAGGGAGAAAATAGCTTCTCGACGACGCCCGATAGAGGGATAAACCTGGCCGATCCAAGTGTCGTAGAGATGGTGGCTTCCGAGTTAGAGTCTGATATCGTTGCGCTCCAACTTCATAGCGGAGAGACAACTGAGGGAGTATCGGGTTCTTCCCCCGAGCTGGCTGGTGGCCAGAGTTCCCCTCGGTTTGGGGTGCCTTCGTTAGGTAGTTTGGAGGGGCCTAGTTCTGGGGCCTTGAATGAACAAGGGATGGTCCTGACTGACCCTGCTAGCACCGGAGTCGTGATTGATTTTCCTCATGGAATGACCCTACCTCCTAGGGGAGTGCAAGATGCCCCACATGAAATGTGCTCGAAAGGCTTCCAATCATTCTCAAGGGAATCCCTGAGATCGATGTTTCCCTCGTCTTTGGTGAGATGAGCAGGTTTTGCAAGCAGGTAACCTTTGGAAACCCTGCCTGTTGCTCAAGCCTTGGTTGATCTGACCTGTGTCTTTCTAACTTGTCTTTTTTTTGTTTCTTCAGGCCAAGGCGCTTTACAATCAGACTTTCACCCGGTATCAGGCCGAAGTGACCCGTCATGAGCGCGAGAAGGCTCTCATCACTGAATAGGTTTTCTAGTCCTCGTTTGCCATTATCTGAATGATTTGCCAGATCTCAATGTTTTAATATCTTGGATCTAATTCATGCAGTTTGAGAAGGAAAGTGCTCTGCTAAGGGAGGAGCTCTGGGCAAGAGACTTCGAAGTCTCCGAACTCAAACGACGTGAGAGAGAGATAAGTTCCGAGAGGGATGCCCTCCAGAAGAAGGTGGCCTTAGTTGGCGTCAGCTTAGCGACGCGAGGGAGTATAGTGACAAGTACATAGGTCTTCATTCTGAGTTGGTAACTGCATTATCTGGGATCAAAACTGAAGCCGAGACGCATAAATCTTTGCATGGAGAGGATGCCATTGCGACAAGTGCTCAAGCCGGGAGTTGAGGGGACCGAGCCGAAATTGACTCGGGCTGTCGAGCGTGCTCGGTTGGGATCTCGGTGGCAGACATTTAGGGACATACATGCGGGAGATATCATTCTGCCTTCCAAGCTCGAGAGGGTAAAGACCCAAGAGAAGAGAGATCCTGCCTTGCTTGCTTTCAGAGGTGCGCCGGGCAGCGGCTCAGGAGGTGATAAAAATGAAGGCGGAGCCCCCGGAGGGGAAGAGGCCCTCGAAGAAGGGCGGCTGAAAGACTTGTAGTTGTTGAGGTGCAACCTTTTGTGGAGACATCGAAGATGTATGCTCGATGATAGATTAGGATTCTACTTGGTTCTCTCTTTGTAAGGGTTTTTTTTTTTAAGGCTTGTAAACATCCCCCTGGGGGCCATAAGAAGGCTTTTGTTTCCTATACCTTCTTTCCCTTTCGTTTTTCGTGTTACATCTCGTACTTTTCTACAGAGCATTTGTGACCATAAGACCCAGTAAAGTTTAACAACCTCGATTCCGTCAGATACATTTTGATATGGTATTTTGAGTGGAATATTTTTGTAAAAAAAAAAAGTGGCTTGAAAAATATGATTGTATATAGTTATTAATATTACTACTTTCGAATATACTTTATATCATACACATAATATGAGAAAGTTTATGAGATTCTCTTTATTGTAAAGGTAGAAATTATTTTCTCACAAGAAAAGAAGGTTATCTTTTTTTTTACCATTTTAAGAATTAAGCATACGAAAATTTGTACTCTCTATATGAGAGTAGGAAAATTAAAAGTTGAGAAAATATATATGTATTTTTACATGGATGTTTTAATGATATAATAGTGTAGGTATTGATTTTATATGGTACCATATGGCCACGATAGTAGGGTATATATAAAGTGTCTTAAAAAGTAAGTAGTATTTTAATTAATTTGAAATATTTCTTAATTATGCGGATAATTTATTAATTACCGGATAACGAGACATTACCTAATTACCTAATAAGTGGATAAAGATTAAACTTTCCCACCCCATTCCCACGTGGCAGCCCCTCACCTTCTATTAATGACTCATTAGTCATTTAAAAAGGTGTCACATTATTAGAGAAAGACAACAAAAATATATACACACCCCTCACCAACCTATACATATATGGTAACAGAAGTTTGGTGTCAAGATATGATGATGAATATTGGGAACAAGACAATGAAGATTAGAGTGACTCCTTAAATTACTGAGTCTCCAATCCTTTATATAGTTCAAAGCCGCACTCCAGACCTATTAAAAAAATTGCTACCAACAGGTATGCAAGCAGGAAGTAAAAAGTTTCAAAAGATTAGTATGATAATGAGTATGCTGATTACAAAGTTGATGACAAGATGGTAAATTCTATTTTTTAACATCTATCATCTCCTATTATATTTGGTGTTGTATGTAGTAGGGTATATGATGAACTTTCTAGATAAAACGTGAAGGAAATAGTCACCGTAGTCTGCAATTCTTTCTTCTTTGGTGTTGGGATTCGCGGAGCGCACAATTCTGTGTTTGGACAATTGATACATTCTTGTAATGAATTGTTAATGTGTATTGGGGGAAAAAAAAGGAAAATTAGAGGATTGTGGAAATATATGAAGTAGGAGAAGAAGAAAACTGGATAACCACCCATTTAATAGATCGGCTCTTTCAACCTCTTATCTTTTCTTGACTCTGTTAGAGGGTAGTTAAGAAGAGTACTTATCATAATAAAATTGTGAGCGTCACAGTTGATTTTCACTTAACATTTTCATTAACTATTTTCTTACTTCTTGCGGAAGACGATGGCGATAATCCTGACTATGGTAGCACAGGTCGTGGAAGGGGCGTTAAGGTGTGTCTTATGCGGAGCATTGTTCATATTCTATTTGGTGTGCTTGGCCTTGTTACTGGTTACTTCATGTACTTTAATTTTTCAAGAGTAAGTGCTTAATTGGCATTTGACATATCTTTTAGCATGTCCATTTTTGGAATATTAATTTTACAGTAGGAAAGTTTGGTCCTTGTCATTCATGTGGAGTTCCTTATTATCCAGAATATAATACTTGAAAAGTCTTGTGTATAGTCTTGTGTGTAATGGTTTAATATATTCAACTATATGAATTTTGTACTCTTTATGTTGTATGAAAATGTTGAGAGTTGTATGGATGATTTGATGGTTTTAGAAGAAAATATAAGCTATTTGATAGGTGGCAAAATTTTGATAGTATCAGACATTTACAATATATGTAAGCACCAAGTAATATCATACCGAACGATTAATTACAAGGGTTACACTTTATTATTTGGAATGGATGTTACATTGTCCATTTTTTTGGCATATTTTGGTCAGACAATAGCTAATCATTTTTCGGTAATTAACTCAATCAAATAAGTTGATTGTTTATCGCTTTGAGCTCGTAACTTACCCCTTCAAATTTATATTATTCATTATGCTACAGTTTATCAATACTGATTATAACATTTGTACTAATTAACACGGGATACACGTGCAACGCACGTGTCCGGAAATTAGTTTCCATAAATGATTCTTTTCATAGAAATACTATGGGTGTCTATATTCTTGATTCCTATGTGAATTATCATTATATCTTCTGTTCATGGGTCTCAGAAAAATATACGTAAATTTATAAAGTTTACTTCATGATATTAATTAAAGGCATAGTGGTCTTATGACATTCCGAGAAATTTTGGCTGTAAAAAATTTTTTTAAAAAAATATTTTTATTTCTCGAGATTATACAAATATCGTATATTTGCATTAGTCATCTCTGGGTGCATGTAACACCTTATTTAGGACTTCTTTTGAGTCTATCGACTTACTACAAAATTTGTATGGTGAGTTTTCAAATGCTCGGGGAGATAACTTTATTAAGGATCATTTATTCATGATTTTAAAGAAATTATATTTTCTTATTTCATAATGGACAATGTTAACTTTATTCTAAATGATACCTAAATTCTATGTCCAATTGACGTACTTCTCATGCATTGCATTCATTTACATGTGCATTTACCCATGACTCAGATGGTGTTATATACGCATATATACGTATATATATATATATGGGATATGGGATATGGGAAAAGGTTACGACGTTATATACGCACCACCACCTGATCAGATGGTATACAATGATGATTTTGTCCATAGTGGCACCAGATGGCGTTATATATGCGTATATATATAAATATATGTATATGGGATATGGGAAAAGGTTATGGTGTTATATACGCACCACCGCCAGATCAACTGGTATATGTTAATGATTTGCCCACAGTGGCCGAGATAATTTGATGGTATGCCCTCAGCGGCTTGATGATATTATGTACGTATAGACCTATGCATTACATGACATTTATATGTACCGGCCTTGACGAGCCCATATGTATTCATGTTTTAAGAAATATGATTCAGTGATATAGTGTTGCCCACTTATAGTTATGCATTACGAGTTGTGGCCATGTTGGCCCATGATAGTTACAAAAAGAATGAGTCCAGCTAATTCGACCTATATATGTTCTAGTTTTGGTAAAACGATCATGAGTTACAGAGTGGTTCGCTCGGGCCAGTACGGCACCGGGTGCAAGCCACGCCTCCCCAGGTTCGGGGCATGACATTTCAGAAATACTATGTGATGTATTTTGACTTTCGATCCAAGGTCCCAGACCTCGAGTTAGACCCTCGGGCTTCGCTATTGTCGGGCGACCTGGCTTTTATATATCCGGCCGGCACAACCTTTGATCTTAGCGCTGGTGACAGTGACTCATATGTATTGGGTCGGTACACCCTTTTAGTGTAAGCTAGCATTTGAGATCTTATGCTTTCGTTCTTAGGCATTTTTATCAGTTTGGGCTCAGTCTCTGAGTCAGATTTCGACTTGAGTTCATTTGACCCTCAAGTTTTAAAATTTCGAGCTGGCCCTTAGGCTCTTATGCGTTGGGTCGAAGCGACCTTATATGTGGGCCGACGACAATGGCTCTTACACTTTAGGTCGAAGCGACCTTTTATGTGGGCTGGCGACAATGGCTCTTACGCCTTGGGTCGAAGCGGCCTTTTATATGGGCTGGCGATAATGGCTCTTATGTCTTGCCCTGAGGCATACTTAGTTAACTATTTTGGGTTCAGTCTCCGAGTCAGGTTTCAACTCGAGCTCATTCGACCCTCAAGTTTTGTATTTGTGCGGGCTGGCGACGATGGCTCTTACGCCTTGGGACGATGCGGCCTTTTATTGGCTTTATTTTTCCCTCATTAAGGACTTTTTGAAATAATTTTTTCCTGACTCTTTGATGGTTTGATAAAAACCTCGATTATGAGTCATTATGTGGCGATAATCGAGCACCTCGGGAGGTTTGGCTCAGAGGCTGAGTATCTCAAAGCCTG